AATATTTATAATATAAAAATTACTCCTAATTTATAATATTATTAATAATTATAATTACATACAATATTTTATTAACTAAATAATTTTACTATTTCATTATAATTAATAATTATTTTAAAACAAATTATAATATATTTTATTATCATATTAAATTATTCTAGTGAGTGACCAAATATTTTGAGAAAAAGAATAGAAAAGTATATTCCTCATAAATTTCAAGGATCCAATTTTTTTAATATAAATTAATTTTACAAAATAAAAGTATTTTTAATTTATAACATCCAAATTTTTATTACTAAGATGATATTAATTATCAAACAAGGTAATATTCTTTACAACATAAAGAAATAGCCCATATTTATGCTATTATTAATAATTATAATTATGTGCCATAATTTATTAAATGAATGACTTTTACTTATATAATTAATAATTATTTATAATAAATTATCATATATTCACGAATTTTGTTATCATTATAAATTATTAATATATTCTAGTGAGACCAAATAATTTGAGAAAATAAAGAGGTGCATAGTTAATGAGAGGTTATGGATCATTAATTAGTTTTATAAATAATGATATAATTTCGAGTTATAAAAAATTGAAAGGGTAAAAAAGAAAATCAAAAGTTTTGATATGGGTATTCTCTTTTATAAGTAGTATAGATTTTCTTGATTTTTTTATTTTAAATAAATCTAGATCCTTTTAAAGGATATCTCTAAACTTTTAATAGTTTCTCCATACATAACTCGTATTTTTTTACTCTATGAATATTATTAACATCAGAGAATATTTTTTTTTACCATGTAAATATTACTAATACCAGAGTAATGTTTATAAAATATAATCAATTAATTCTAAACTATTATATTATAGTATTTTATCATTTTAAGTGATTTAGTCTTCTGTCAATTTATACTACCTCTGTATTTTTGATACTCCAACTTATGAGTAAAATTATATGCAATTACTTTTATTTAGACAATGATATTAAATTTTAATCTATCAATATATATTTTTAAATTTTCTGGTTTTTTTGTAATTTTGAACTTTTGAGGGTATTTCAAAAATTTTTAAAACCTTGAGGGTGTTAATTACAAATTTTAAATTTTAGGGGGCTATTATTAATTTTTAGATTTTATGTTTGTTGTTTTAAGTTTTGAAAAGTCAGGATGTTTTGTATAATTTTGAACTATTGAGGGTGTTTTGTACAAATTTTGAAACCTTTTTGGTTTTTGATAATAATTCATGTATTGTAGTATGTTACCTACTTATTATTTATTTACCTTTTCATTATCGTTTAAACTCATTGGTGTTTACATGATATTATCTTTCTCTATCATCCCTGATGCTTAATTGATGCGACAAAGAGTACTTTTTTACGGTTGGGAAAGGGGGATTTATGTTCAAGTCCGATGGTAATTCATAGAATTCATCTATGTTGTTCGTAAGTTTTGAGGGTGTGTTTTTAATTAAAACTTTTGATGGTGTTTCTAAAATTTTGTGCAATTTTTGAAACTTTTTAAGTTTTTTTGTTATTATTAATATTTTATGTAACTTATTAATCTTATTTTTTAATTATTGAGCTATAGGTAATTCATGTGGGATTAAGATAGGATATAATTATGATTATAATAAATTAAGATTTAAATACAATATTTAAAAAAGCGAAGGGTAATATTGACAAAGAAAAGATTTTTTCTTGAACTCTTGTTTTTAAAGAAAGTATGATTGGTTAATATTATTTGGATATTTAATGTTTGGCAGTTATCAGTGAGGATCTCTAACATAATCTCCGTTGCCAACCTAGCTCATTTTCACAAACTTTCATTAAATCTTGCTGACATGTCAATGACATAGCATGAAAAACTTATAATTTTGTTTTTCTTTTTTTTGGCTGATGTGGCAGTAATGCAACTATACAAAGGCGAACCTTCACTAACTTTTTTTTTGCTGATATGAAAATCAAAAATGATACATGCACACCATGTGCCACACCCTCAGCCACACTCTCCTCTTTCTGCTACAGTAACTAGGGCCCACATGAGATTTATAAATAAATCTCATATGGGCCATGGTTACTGTAGCAGATAGAGGTGAGTATAGCAGAGAGAGGTGAGTGTGACATAAATCTCATATGGGCCCTAGTTACTGTGGCAGAGAGAGGAGAGTGTGGCTGAGGGTGTGGCACATGGTGTGCCTGTAGTGTCACTCTATGACAATGATGTTGCATGGTCACGTCATTGCCACGTAGGCAATATTTAACAAAAATAAAATTAATGACCACGGCCCAGGCCGATGACGGAGATAATGATCTGAATTCTTCCTGACGACCTCCAAATATTAAAGACCCATACGATATTTGGCCGATAAAGTGAACTTTTTCGCCCACGTATTACTCTCGTCAATTAAGAAGCTACCACAAATCCCACTGCGCTCAGATCACAAAAGGACAAAATTATATGAAAGTGGGGGGTGAAGCTCGTTCCTATATGTGTTTTCATGCAAACGGTGCTTGCGAACGAATGGCCCAAACGCGCAATCTGTATCCGGTTTATAAGCAATTTCATAGCCCGCAGCTTTACAGCCAAAAACACAATCCAATTAACAACGGATCCAGCCCAAATCTGGAGCCCAAGCCTCACATTGAAACCGAACCCAACCCGCCCCCGCCACATTCTCTAAAAGGCAAAACAAATCAAAAGAATACCCTTCAAACATGAGCAAAATCACCCTCCCCTCACTGTCCCAAACAGTAATTTCGTGAAACCGCAAGGGCTAAGACCTAACCCTCGATCATCGGTAATTCCCAGATTGAGCCATGGCGTCACTTTCCGTCTCCATTTCCGCTCCAATTTTTATCGCCCGATCATTTTCTTGAAGGTCGCACTTCAATTTTAGGGTTAGGGTTTGGGTTTTAGATTACGATGTAGATTCCGAAGACGTAGTGCGCCGCGCCCCTGTAGATTCGAGGCGGGGCGGGGACGCCGTCCGGGGACGAGGCGGGAGGACGCCTGTCGAGAGCGGGCGGCGGCGGCGGGCGGTGACGGAGGGCACTCTATGGCATGGCTCAGCGCCGTCGAATACAGTTGCGCTTTCGTTCACAGGGGAGGGTTTACGGTGTTCGATTGTCGTCCAGCTGAAAGGGTTAGCAGAAAGTCCTATGCTTTTCTAATTTTTGTATTTGATTTTTGAGGATGTTGAGTCGCTTGTTTGAATGATGGCTCGGTGATATCGCGGTTTGATTTGATTTGGGGGATTTTGGCTTCGGGGTTGGATGAACGACACCAGAACATTGAGGGCTATTTATAATTCTTGTTTTATTCCAAGAATGAGGTTTGATCTTATCTTGTCAGAATTAGTGTGCCAAGATTAATTTTTTTAATTGTATTCTGGCGGCTAGAAGGGGAACTAGAGAAACTGGAGAGATATAAATGACGAAAGAGTAATCGCATTCTTTGAGATTCATCTCAAATTTCTTTCGATGGGTGTTAAAATAAGTTTAATGAATTAGTCCTTTTTTCTCAGAATTACTTCTTCTTTGTCCTATTTCAGCTAGAGGGTGCTTGGTAACCCATCAAAACCAATTTTGTTGCTTTTTGTCGAAACTCACTAGTCTTCCTTCGTGTTGAAGAACATTTGGAAATCAGTAGGACGAAAGATAAACCACTATGTCATCTTTCTCACGCTCCAACTTATTTCAGCGTCTGGAATCAAGCAGCAACGTTAAAATCTTTTCTTTGGCATTATAACAAATATAATGTGTGTGTACTCAAGTTGAACTAGAAATGATGAAAAAAAGGACCCTAATTTAACAAGCTGGACTGAGCAAAAGTGACATGGTTGATCAATTAGGAAGTGAGCTGGTTGCTCTGAGCATGTGACGAATGACAAGATTTTCAATAATGGAGCAAGGAGTGACTAAAGGTAGGCTTTATAGGACATAGTCGTTAGCAATTTGGAAGAATATGATAGTGGTTTACGTGATGGAGGACATAACCCTTAACTGAATACAGGAATAGGATCATTAGTGTTCGCCCCAACAAATTTGAACAAAGGTTTTGTTGTTATTGTTATTTGTTTTTGGTGTAGTAAGATGCCACATGCTGAAGGATAAGGCTGTGTGCGGTGAAGGGGATGCCATGTTTGAAAGATCAGCTGGTGCAGAGTAGGGGATGCCACATATCCAAAGGATTGGGTGTGGGTAAGAGGTTTGCGTATACTAAAAGAAAGAAGAAGAAGAATTAAGGTTGCATATTTCACGAAATAGAAATGCGTGTTTTTTCATAGGAGTAAACATTTGTGAATGAAAGAATATGAAAATTTCAGTAACTTTTTAGTTAAATTTTTATACTTTCTTTTGCAAGAATCCAGACATCGTGTGCAATTTTATTATTCCTGGCTCCATGACAACACAATATTACTTCAAATGTAAGAGGAAGACGTGCTTTATATCATACTAGGATAATCTCTATCTTATGCTCTATCTGAGGCCTCACTAACAGACCCAAAATAACAACAAAATCCCAATCATACATTACAGACTATTATTGCTAAACAGTTGCTTGCTTGCTATTTTTCTTGCATTTTTGGGCACACAGTTTTTTGGGCACACAGTCTCCTCCGACCCGCATTTTTTCGTCTTCTATGATTAATTCCCTATGATATTTTAACTTTTGTAGAGCATTAATTATGTGAATGCTAACTATAATTGGAAATTTTGAAATTTAAGGAAGTAGGGGAGTGCAAGTTGCTTCTTGGAAGTACTTCAACGGTTAACCATTTTGTTATATTCTTCTTTGCAAATACACATTTACACCTTAAAACATTTACTTTTCCATGGATCTTGTGTAAGTTGTCCATAGCAAAGCACCTACTAAGCTAAAGAAAACTAAGGACATATGATCGAAAATTTATGTGACATTTTCCTGCATTCCTCCTGTTCTGCAAATGTTTTACTTTAATTCATTAAATAATATAAAGGATTAAAACCTTTATTATGATGTTTATATACAGGTGCAAGCAGTGTTACTGTTGTTGGGTGGACAAGAATTGTCTCCTGACTTTCCGGGCATGACATCACCGGACAATGTACATCACAGGGTATGGATTACCAGTGGCCATAATTTCTTTTGACTTAATATCTGTATTTCAACTGACTGTTCTGTCCATGCTTTCTTACAAGCTTCCGAATGATATTACACGACTCTCCACCAATCCTCATAGGTTAGCTTCTATAATGAGGTATCGGGAGAAGAGGAAAAACTTGTGCTTTGATAAGAAAGTACTCTATGAAGTCAGACAAGATGTTGCTTCTAGGTATGTTATCGAATACCTTGTTTTGATACTGTAATTTATTAACTTGATGAGTTTCAATTGTGGAAAGTTCACTAATAAAGTTCCAATTTTTCCTCCCTAACTTTTAGGGAGTTGGATATTTTGAAATTCTCAAAAGATGCTCTAGAATAATTGACAATTTAAACGCTAAACATCCAAAACTTTAAAGAACATTTTATTGTTTTCATATTTTATTGATATCTGATCAGCATGCGATGAATTTCTAAGGTACAATGTAGATTCATGATGTACATTATCGTTAAACTGTAACCGTGAAAATAAATGTTCTTCTTCTAACCTTTTTGGAGTAATACGCTTAGTTGTCTTCACTAGGAAATTTGGTTTACAATGTTTTGTGTTCTTTTTCTCCCTTGATGGCATTAACCATTCTATAATTCAGAATGAAACGACACAAAGGGCAGTTTGCATCATCGAAGAAAAATTCTGAGGAAGCAGTCTCTCCTTCTTCAAGTGGTGAGCATGCTCAAAGCAATTCTCAGGAGGAAACAGTATCAAGCTTGTAAGTTGAAGCTTCAATCATGACACAGTTTATTCTTCCAGTTTCTAAGCATATAACTTAAAATTTTGATTTTCTGTTAAATTTAAAATTTAATTTTGGATATTGAAGAATTTTCCATGGCAAGCAATAGCTAAAACATATGAAAGATGGTTATGTTTACTATTGTTGTTTTTGACTCTTCTTCTTCCCCTGCCAAATTGAAACTATATTCTGCTGCTTTACTTTTAAAAACCATGTGGTGTCTGCAGTTGCCAAAACTGTGGAACTCCTAAAGGTGCGACTCCAATGATGCGTCGTGGCCCAGCTGGACCAAGATCTCTGTGCAATGCTTGTGGGCTGATGTGGGCAAATAAGGTTCATCTCCTTCTGATCTCATTTTATCTTACTGGCATTATATATTTTGTAGTCCTCATCGCTCACATGGTATATAATAAACATGATTATGCTATTACAGTTGATTCCCAGACTTGGTTACCAGCTAGCTACTCTGCTTTGACCACTATGATTTTAAGCACTTGAGATTCAAAAACCCATAAAGTCTCCCCCACCCTCCATGCATGCACCACCACCAAAGTAAGAAATAAGTCAACCTCCCTCCCTCTCTTGGCCATGATGCTGGTTCTTCTTCTCCCTGTCTCCCTCTATCGACATACACGTGTCTGCTTGTTTGTGTGCATGAGCATGGTTAATAACCCACATGTCAACTGATGGCTTCCCTCCTATCTCAGACACACGCAAGAGCATATGTTGTGTGTATCAAAGAGAACGAGAACAGTTGATCAATGATATGCATCAAGTGGTAACCCTCCTGTATTTCCGCCGAAGGATGGCAGGGATCAAAACCGATATTTCATAATATAAAGAGCTTCTCTGGGAAAAAGAATGTTAAGGCCTCTTTCTGAAGTGCCATTTCACCATGCTTATGTTGGTGATATTAGATTTTGTTTTATTATATGAACCCTTTTGTCCATTATTTCAGATGCTGTCAGTAAATGACTGTTAATGTACACTCTTGGAAGTGTGGAAGTTCTATGGAAGCTTGGAAGTTCTATCAGGAAATTATGTCATGTCAAACACACATCAATTGCTAACACTATGCCACTTTTGCCATGTGTGCTCCTTCTTGTGTCTTTGATTTTTAGAATGTATCAGTTCACTTGTATATATTTCACTCGGGTATATATGCATGTTGGTCTAAAAAGGAGGAAACTTAATTCCCCCCAACCAAAAAAAAAAAAAAAAAAGAAGAGCTGGGTAACCTTTCTCTTTAATAGGACATCATCTCATTTGAGTGGTGAGATTTAACCTTGCACATCCATATGATAACGAGGAAACGGAGAAGAGTCACTATGATGCAGGACGATCGGTGGGCTTAATAACTGTTCCCCATCACACTACCAGAGAACGATTGTGCATATGCTATACAATGAAGAACCTGGGGAGCTGAAGATGCAGAGTCATTTGAAACTCTGGAAATTTCTTTCTTTCCAGAGAAACTAAGTGATTGCAGATGATGTATACACCAAAAGATCTGATTCCGGGCTTATGTTTTCTTTTCTTCCAAACAACTCCAAACTGATTCCCAAAGAGATTGGAAACGCAGTTTTTTCAAATGCTTACATAAATAATGCTGAAATAAGATAAATTCTGTGAAGGAATAGTACATTAGATATTACATATTAATAATACATTAAACTTTTATATTACATATTCATGGAGGGGTCTAATTGGTGTTTATTTTGTTGACCGCACAATGCTTTGCGTGTTAGCTGGCTTTCTGATTTTTTCCTATCATTTTTCATCATCAGGGAACGTTAAGAAGTCCTTCACAACCTTCATCTTCTGGCATCCAGAACTCTCCCACTAACCCAACTGAGCAGGTAAATTTATTTTTGGGTACTATTGGAAGAGAGAATTTCACCAAGTAGTATATTTTATTTTCTTTGCTGCTCGTATGCTTATGCATCCTTTATTCATATTCTACTTTGCTTGTTGTAGAGTGATGCCAACGGTTCTGATATTGGTAGCAATGGCCATATGTTTTCTGCAACATCAAATGGGCCAGAGTCCACTATGATCGCTAGAATTGATGCATCCATGGAGTATGCCGATGGCTGAGGACAGCAATTGGGCTATGAAGATAGATCTTGAGTAGTTAGCATTTTCGAGCAGCCTGCGCCTTGTGGTTTCTGTATTTATAGAGATCACAAGAAAGCTGATACTCGAGGAGTCTTTTTACTAACTGTAATTAGTGTTTCTTTCGACGCCTTAGGGACTTTAGAGATTGTAAGATTATGATCTTGTCTATAGCATTTTAATTTTTTTTTTCTCATAAGGTTGACCATTTTTATGCGGTGGATATGCACATTTGTTGTGTGGTTGTGTTGTCAGTATGCCAACTCTTCATAAGTTCCCTGTTGTATTTGGCAATTTTAAGGTCTTGCAATATTGAAGAAATTATGGTCAATATTGCTGGTTCTTCTTAGGAGCATCAGGTGATAAATTATTTTATTGCTAATGGTTTTAGCCTTAGGTAAATGATGTATCAATGATTATAAAAAAGAAATTCTTGGGGGGAAAACCTTCGATTCTTTGCTCAAATGCAGAGTCATATAGGTAAATGCATATATTTTTAATGAATAAGGTATTTCTCACTTCACCTTAAAATTATTCATAGAAAATGAAATGATTAAATCATTAGAAAAAGATGCCTATTAGTTAATATTTTTCTAACTTCTTGTGTAGTTTATTTAAATTTGGGTTTTAATCAAGAAATATTTACTCTTGAGTTTTCAAGTCACTGGCAAGATAATTACTTCTAAGTAATAATCAACATAAATCTGAGAGCATTCCAATTTCCCTTCTACTCTTAGGGTGTGTTTGACAAAGTGAACAAAACTGGGAGTTTTGTACTAAAGCATTTTTTTTTGGACCAGACCCCCTGGTCTAAAAAAAACTGGTATAGTGACACTACTTAGGCTAACAAAATTAGGCCAGCTCTGACCTGAAAATTTGACAAACAAGAAACAAGTTAAAATTGAGCCAAGTTCAGTCCTAACTCAATTTTAACTTGTTGACAAACACACCCTTATATTGTTCTAATGCATGGTTTGCAGTTTGACAGTTACTGTTACAAGAATTGCTGTATAGAAATATCACAAGATGTAAGCAAATTGGTCAGAAATATAAGATCATGGATATTCTAGTCATATTGAGGGGCTAGAAATTCAAACAACAAAGTAATATTCACTAGAAATTACGCAGATTGTACTGAACAAAAATGATACAACCGCATGTAATTTTACCAACATTTCCACCAATTATGTTGAACATTATTGGTATAAACATCACCTACTCAGAAAAGATTGATACATACGCACTGCTACATCGCTGTAAAATTCATAAAAGAACTGACTTTATACCTATAAGATTCCGCAGCTTATACTGAAGAAATCTAGCGGGGTACACTGGACAAAAATAACAGCCACAAGTAATGTAATCAAAATTTCCACCAATGCGGAGAACAAAATTGGTATACACATCATCTTACCCCGGAAAAAATTCATACATAATATTACTACATCTGTGCAAAACTGATATAAAACATTTCCTTTATTCTGAAAGAAAGGTTACATCTCACTGCATTTATTCCATGCTGTACCTCGTCTGATTCCCTACTATATATGTAACTGTAAGAGTGTCAAAAAATGAAGCAATGGATTTAAACTCACTTGTGAATATCTTCATGCACACAAGCCGACACGTCTCAAGTGATTGCCTTGGGCAAAGGAAATAAAAAGAGATGATTTCTTCAAAAATGGTTGCTGAGGAAGCAGGTTAGTATAGATGAGAGATGGATATTAATTTATCCACAAAGGTGGGCACAGCTTCCTTCTAAAAGGGACATGCATAAATAATCACCTCTTGGCCTTGCAAGCCAAACAAATTTACAGCGGCAAACCAATTGACAAAAAAATGTTACAAACTCAAATGGAATACCACAATGTATAGTCAGAAAAAGGCATACGTACTGTTTTGCTTACCTCAATTTAGTGCTATGGTATATGAAAGTAGCAGCCCCCACAACTACATGATTCCTGCCGACAGAATAACAGAAGTGTAGATGTCTTATTAAGCAATTTCGGGGTTGCGTCAGTAATCCACTCAAGGCCACCTCTTATAGGAAGTTGACAAATATTAGTCTCTGCCACAATCTTTTGAAAGGCCAATGCAAAGCAGTTGCCTGCACAAAACCATTTAGAAGCAGAGACAAACTTAACAAGTTGAATGTATCATACACGGACATAAGATTATAAGATGCACATGATATTGTGCTATTTCAATACTCAGTTAATAGATAACATAGAGGGACCATCTTTTTCTCAGTTATTCACATGATGAACAAGGAACTGTCAGTTTCTTTTTAGGGTTCTTTTCACAGATACCATCTTGAAAATAAAATGATTGTACGTAAACCACCTTCAAAGTTCAATTTGTCAGTTTCTTCTTAGGGTTCTTTTCACAGATACCATCTTTAAAATAAAATGATTGTACGTAAACCACCTTCAAAGTTCAATTTGTATAAAAACCACCTCCAAAGGGGGTTCCGATTGCAATCAACCACCTTGACCTATTTTCTGATGAATTTTAAATAAAAGTTCCCAAAATACCCTTAAAAACACACATGTCAAGCACTAGGTTTGGTTAAGAAGGCATATCACCTGCCTGGCACGTGTGTTTTAATGGTATTTTGGGAATTCTAGTCAAAATTTCATCAGAAAAGAGATCAAGATGGTTGATTGCAATAGAAACCCCTTTAAAGGTGGTTTCTATATAAATTGAACTTTGAAGGTGGTTTTAGTATAATCACCTATTTTAAAGGTGGTTTACGTGAAAACAACCTTTTTTTTGTTGAGAAAATGAAGTACCAAACTTATTCCACATTATAATAATGACCAAGTGAAACACGTCCTACAACAAAGTATCATGATCATCACACACCAAAGCAGTATCTGTTATATCACCTTTCTCATGTTATTTAAAAAGATACTTCTGTATCTACTCAGAACCTTATTATTATACTACATTTAAGATTTAAACATCTAAGAATAATAATATTTCTATCGAGTTTTGGGCTAACTAATACAAGAGTTCAGACTGGCTAAGGTTCAAAAAGTCATGGATGAGGAGAATCAATTGGAACATTATTGTAAAAACAACAAAGATAAAGTCATGCAATGAAAACCATGGCAGCTAGTAAATTGGCAAAAGACTAGAAAAGAAGTCAGAGGAACAAGGAGCCAAATTTAGGTAACAGAACAAGTTTATTCATGTATTTCACTTCCTGTGAGTTAGGAGGATTAAAAACACACAAAGGGACAAATTTTAAGAAATCTAGAAATTGATATGCAGATCCATCAAATAAAGGTGCAAAACAAAATAGTTTTAGTGTCCATAGGATAACTCTAGAAACAATTTTCAGTTACGTGCAAATCATACAGAGGCAAATGAGGAAGATGCAAAGATCAACAGAGGTAAAGGGGATACCTTCCATAACCTCGCCCCTTCAACTTCCATGATCAGGGGATAAAAGTACCAGAAATCCACCATTATACTCCAAGCATTTTATCCAGAATGAGACATATTTTAAATATCTCCTTGCTATTGCAGGAGCCCTTTTCGCAAAATGCAGCGATCAAAAAATCATATACCTGACAATCGAGAACTAAACCCTTATCTAACAATTCCTCAAACAGTCTTAGCAAATCCCCAAGTCTTCCACCCTTAACCAATCCATGACTCAGATGAGCAATCAGCTCTTGCGAATAAACATATTTTAAGCTTTTACAAAAATGAATAGCCTCAGAAAATTTTCCCTCTCTACACAAAGAATCAACTCTTATATTACACGTCACTTTGTCCGGAGCAATGCTGTTCAATTGCATGAAAGAAACCAAACTGCTAAATTCATTGGTCTTTCCTGCCAAAAGGTACTGGTGCATCAAAATGTTACAGGACACAACATTAGGAACAAACCCTTTGCTCTCAAATATACACCAAGCCATGCGAAATTTACGAGCTCTACAGAGGCTATAAATCACAATATTAAAAGACTGAGTATCTGGTCCTATTCCTTTCTTTACCATATCAGTAAATATCTTAAGAACTGTGAACCATTCCTCGACTTCACATAGCCTACTCATAACAGTATTATAGCTAACAACATTGAAATCCAAATCCAACTCGGAGCTCCTCTCTAATAAGCGTTTAACATCCCAAACCCTCGATTCACAACAAAGACGATGCAGAAGTATGTTCAAAGTTACCACAGTCGGACACAGTCCCTTATCTAACATGACTTCCAACTGCCTAAAAGCTTCTTCTATCCTACTAACCTTACAAAGCCCGTTAATATAAATATTATACGAAACTGCATCAGGGTTCCAACCCTTAGACGAACTCTCTCTCAAAACATTCTCAACCTCATCAAAATCCCCCTTATCACAAAGTCCTTGAATGAGAACATTATAACACACAGTATCGGGAGAACAATTGCCACTCTCCATCGAATCCAATAACCTCTTCGCCTCTTCAATCCTCCCATTCGAGCAATAAGCTTGAAGTAACGGGGTAAACGTGAGACAATTAGGCTCACACTTCTCTTTAACCATCTCATCTACAACCTCTCTCGCCTCCTCAACCCTTCCCGCTCGACAAAGACCATTAATTAGAGTTGAATACATGACAACATCAGGCTTGCATCCCGACTTAACCATCCACCTAACGACCTCTCTCGCCGATTCAAACTTCTCCAAATCAAAAGAATACATCTTCACCAACTCGGTACAAAACTTGACATCAGGATCTACACCCGAACTCATCGCCTCCCAGAACAAATCCTCCGCCTCCCCGCACCTCCTTGCAGACACCAACGCCTTAAAAACCGTGCCGTAACAGAACAGATTCGGCTCACAATTCAACTTTTTCATTTCCACGGCTAGCACATGAAGTGCCTCATCAATCCTACCGGCCTCACACAATCCCGATATCAAAGTACAATACGTGACAACATCGGGTCGAATCCCGCACTGTACCATCCATCCAATAACCCCGTAAGCCCAACTGAACTGCTTCAAATGGAAAGAATACATTTTTATGAGTACAGTACAGCAAGTGGCGTCAGGGATTATACCTGAATCCACCATTTCCTTGAATAGATCCTCTGCTTCTTGAAATCGATTCGACTTGACGAGCGCATCGATGGCTGTAGTGTAGATCAAGAGATTGGGCTGGAAAAAGATTGAATCTTTGAGCTGGCGGAAGAGGCGGAGGACTTCGATTGGGTTGCTGGATCGGTTGAAGGATGACATTAGGGCGTTGTATTGGAGGGGGCGATGGGGTTCAGGGAGTTCAGGGTTAGGGTTAGGGTTTCGTTTGGGGAATTTCTTGGAGATCTGGAGGAATTGGGAGAAGAAGTCGTTGGCGGGGGCGGTGTCGCCGGGGGCGGAGGTGGTGGTGTGGTGGCGGAGAGGGTGGCGGCGGAGGGGGAGGAATTGGATAGCGGGCTTGTTTTAGATGGATCTGGGCCGGGTTGGTTTGAATTCGTTTACCTGATCAACTCTGATGGTGTCAATAAAAGTATCCAGTGCATCCGGTCCGTTACTGTCGATATAATAAAAAACGTTAGTCATTACGAAGAAGGATCCAAGCAACAGAACTTGAATAAGTTTTTAAAAGAATTTGACCTTCCGATGAGTTTTCATGAAATGCTTCCTTGAGAAGCGGGCCTTTGGTGGTAATTGTTGTTGCTTTGATGAACGGATGCTTTGCCCTAATAGAGTAGGAGTCCGCGATCGGAGCTGAGTATTTACCAAGATGCATAGATAGATGTCGGTGATTTGCAGGTAATTTAATTGATGTCTGAAGGTCTTTGAATGTAAATTGAGGTATGAGCCCATAACTCGTGTTAGTCTGTCCATGATTATGATTATCTCTGAGAGAGCTTTTTAGGCTAAATTATCAAATTGGTATTTAAGTTGACCCCATTTTCGAATATGATGTTTATTTAGACTCTGGCATTATTTATGTATTTTAACTTGGCCTCAACATTATAAGCTCATCACTCTTTCTCTCTTTTAAAGAGGTCGCGCTTCTAAGGCTCTTACTTATAACATGTCGTAGGTTAAAGTGTTTCATCTGCGAAAAATACTTCAAATTAGAAGGCAAAAATATAATATTATATCATATTATAAGGAAAATATTATTATATTATGTAATTGTTAGAACCATGCTCTGTCAATTTCTTTATATGTGTAATAACAAACATTCATTTGAATCTAATTCGTGCTTGAGTTGATTTGTGCGGGGTTGAACAAGTTAGAATCGAGTTCAAAGAATAAAGGAATGAGATTCAGCTCGAAATAAGCCATCGGCAGAACAACTTATCGAAGAGACATTCTGATCATCGATGAGTGAAGTCGAATCATTGATGGCAGCTCAATCATCAATGATCGAAGAGAACTTTTCATCGTTGATGACAAAATATTATAGAGCCTTTTCAATCATCAATGAGCTCAAGATCTCATCAATGAGCCTAAGTCATTGATGACTCCTGCTGCTCATCAATGACTCTGGTCGTTGATTTTAGATTTTCATATTTAATCTCAGCTATTGGATACAACTGAGGCACTCATTCTCTCCTCCCATTTTACAGAGTTATTCATGACCTAATTGAGGGAGAAGGGGTGGGGCGGGGCGTAGGATTGAAGTTTGGAACAACAGATCTCATCGGAATCAACCAGAAGCTATCTCAAAACATTCTCATTGCATTCTTTGTCATCTGATCATCAACTGTCAAGGAGTGCTACCCTTGAATATCATCATCTACATCGTTCTTCTAGAGCTCCGCTTAGATCATTAAGGACAAAGACTTGATATTAAAAAAGTGTTGTAAGATGCTGCAAGATCTTTTCTATTTGTGCTTAACTGATATTGATTCTTTGTTAAACTCTTTTTTTAATGATCGTGTGGTCGGTTTTGTACAACGTATGCAAGCCAACGTTGATTGAGGGTTGGACACTAGCTAGGGCTAGGGTTACTCATTTGTGAAGAGTTATATTAGACGACTAGTTTTTTGGTAAAAGTAGGGTTTCGGTCCTATAAACCTACTGCATTGCGTGTGTGATTCAGGTAAACTTTCACATAATGTTCTCAAATATCGTTGAACAGAATGTGATACGATGAGATAGAATGCAAAAGAAACAAAGGTAGGGAACGACTTACCTATCCCTAATGGTCAAAGCAAGCACTTTAATTTAATAATTTAATTCAATAAAATTCTTCATTCTTTAATGAAAATTAAATTAAGAATCAATCAAATCTCCCCAAGAAGGATTCAAACCTATGACCAGTCAGTCAACAGCCGATCGCTCTACCATTGAGCTACTGAGGAACAACGGGAGATTCGACCTCATAGAGTTCAACTCCCGTTCTCAACCCATGAGTTCAAAGCTTCCTTTGTAACTCCCGGAACTTCTTCGTAGTGGCTCCGTTCCATGCCTCATTTCATAGGGAACTCCACGAGAAGAAAGAATATATGTAGGATTGTTGATCTGGTAAACGATAAGATTTTTATATGTTCTGATTATGCTATTTTGTGATTTGAGTTATTCCTTCTTGTGTTTGAATTATTGTTTTATTTACGCTGCATAATCTGTTTTTTTAAGAAACCGTGACCAATCCTATTCACCCTCCTCTAGGTTTGCATCTTAGATCTTAACAGTAATATAATTGCATCCAAGAGGCCATGTTTCAAAACTTTCATAATTATAGATGAAAAAAATTGTTTTTGAATGAATATACATAACCGTAATATTGCAAACTATCATGCACCGATTTGCAACAACAATGCCATTGTAACAAAAGATAATTTGCTTCCTTGCATTTGCTAAATATCTCACTTCTTTCTTTACATACAAAAAGCTTATAACGAGTCACGCAAAAAGGCCGCAATTTTTTGCTTTAGGCAATAGAACACACGAGGAGTTGTGTCCATAAAAGGCTTAATCTAAGCTCCCTAACAGTTGCATTTACAAATTTGGACCTAGTTGATTACAAATTTTAACGGCATTCTTCAGCCTCATTGTAATATTGGGCATATGACTTCAAACTTGTACAACAGAAAACACTGTGCTCTGTGTCTGTATTTCCTCATGCATGAATCTTTGTCTATACTCAAAAGTCCACAATATTACTGTTCGGCAGTCTGAATGTTCTGCCAAAAAAAAAAAAAGATGCATAACATCCTTGTGAGCGATTACATGATTCAAAATAAAGACAGACAAAAAAAGAAAAGAAAATTTCATAAGCACATAAAGAAGAGGAATAAAAGAAGAAAATTCAACTCTAAGCGAACTTTAACCTGACTGAGACATTACAATCATCTTCCAAATGATCAGGATCAACAACCTCTCTCATTTGACAGATGCCACCATCTATGTAGATTGCCATCAAACATACAAAACGGTAGCTCGGCAAAGATTTTTTTTTAAAAATAAAACAGAACAAAATAAACAATGATGATAAAGTCATGTAAAGATTTCTTTCTAATTTTTATCAGGGCAGGAAGGTTGGGCTCGCGTCTGTGGCTCCCAAGTTATTTAGCCCTTTCTTTGAGGACATGCCTTGAGAACTAAGACTCGTTCCCAGCTTACCCACAAAAAGAACAAATGATACAATCGAGATGAGTATGATTTATAGACTACAGGTTAAAGGATGGTCCATGTCCTCTCTCCCTCTCTCAAAAAAAAAAAAAAAAGGGATGGTCCATGTATTTCTGGGGAATTCAAATAGATAGGTAATTCGTTTGATGACAATGCACAATGCATTTTTGACATAAATGCGACACGAACTAGAAAGGTTTCCAAACTATTTTTGGAAATGTGATCTTTTGAGGAGATGGTTCGTTTAATCTTGTCCTGCACCATGCACCATTGACGTCAGCCTGGTTAATGGTTCAGGGTTATTTAAAAAAAAGAATCGAAAAGAGAAAACGCACTTGGGTAAAAACTTGAAACGTACGTAACATTGAATAATATTCATGAGTCCTAAGATTACTTCAATACCTCATACTAAAGTACAAGTAGAATCAATAATTTAACTCTCGTATCACCATAAATCAGAAGAAGAAAATATACCTCGCTGAAAGCAATGGAAGCAATTGTGATCCCTCACGACGATCTTCTCGCTAATCAACACCAGAAACCAGCTCTATTGCTGAGAGACAATCAGAAAAAATATGATGGTCCTTAAACATCATGTGGTTCTGCAAGCCTCCCGTGGAAGATCATCATCAACAAAGCTTGCTCTAGCTCCTCTTGCATCTCCATTCTCCCAGTAACTATCAACAACACGCAAAAGGTGAGAAGCTGCCTCTTGCATTGAAGGATATGAATTAACATTTTAAAGGACAATACTTGGGAGTCCTAAAGAACATTCCAATCCTCAGCCTGAGACCTCATATCAATCAAAACACATAATGGTTGCTCGTTAACTCTTGTCTGCACATCAACCATTTATCTAATGACGAAACCCCGACTTTCTCACCGTTGCTGGCAATTAAATTCCCTCAGGAGAACCAAGACCATATTTTTCCGTCTCATCACCAATAATCATCACAAGAACATCGTCCATGCTTAAAACAATGAAAGCGATTACGATCCCTAATTATAATTTCTCGCTTATAGATATCAGAAACCAACTTCATAGCCAAATGACAGTCAGAACATATCCGAAGGTTCTTAAATACACGCAAAGGCACACCCGGTTTAGTACAAACAAGACCAAAAGCGACTGCAAGCCTTTCACTATGCAACAAAAGAGCCTGTTCTCTTTGCTCTCTCGCATCTCCATTCTCTAAAAAACCATCCTCAACACGAGAAATCTGAGAAGCTGCATTTGGAAAATACCCAGCCAAGCGCAATCTCTGCACAATTTCATCCAATTTGGAATATATCTCTTTTGCTCGTGGGTGTGATTTGTCGCCAGCAGTAAACTGATGAACATTGGCATCAACTTCAATATAACTTATTCCGGGCCCTTTTCTAGTTTTATTCCTCTTAATTTCCCTCCAAAGATCATTAGACTCGGCATGCTTCCCATGAGATGAATAGAGATTTGACAGTAGTACATGATACTCGGTGTTATTAGGATAGAGCTCTATAAGCTCATGCATTAACCTTTTACCAAGTTCTAGTTTTCCATGCAGGCTACAAGATGCCATTAGAGAGCCCAACACAACCTCATTAGGTGCCATAGGCATTTTTCGAATCAAAGCTTCAGCTTCATCCAACTTCCCAGCTCGCCCCAAAAGATCAACCATACAAGCATAATGCTCAATTCTAAGCTTCAAACCATAAACCGATTCTATTTCATCGAACAATCTTTGCCCTTGTTCCAGAAGCCCCGAGCGACTGCAAGCACTCAAAACAGACACAAATGTTATATGATCCGGCCTCTCAAATCTCTCATCAATCATCTGATCAAAAAGCCTCAGCACCTCATTCCCCAATCCATGAATTGATAACCCGCTCATAATCGCATTCCAAGCCACCAAGTTCCTAACCCTCATCCTCTCAAACACCATCTTCGCACTTCCAATTCTCCCACATTTTGCATACATATCAATCAATCCAACTAGAACAAACTCATCCTCATAAAAAATACCCAATTTCTCAACATACCCATGAAGCCATCTCCCCGTCGTAAGATCCCCAGCCTGCGAACACGCAGAAAGAACGGAGCAAACGCTAACTGCACTCAAACAAAACCCATCTCCAAAAACCATCCTCTCAAGCATTGAAAACGCGTCTCTAGGCCTCCCAGCCTCTATTAAACCCACAACCATCACAATCCAAGAAACCTCATTTCTTTCCGGCATTATATCAAACATTCTACGGGCAATATCAATTCCTTCGAATTTGGCCAACCCGGATAAGAAGATGGTGTATGAGATGACAGTTGGGTGTGGCATTTCATCGAGTGATTTTCGTGCGTCATGCATTTGGCCGCATTTGACGTAGAGATTGATGAGGGAGTTGTGGGATTTGAGGGAGTGGGGGACGCCGAGCTTGAAGAAGAGAAGGTGGGTGGATTGGCCAAAGGGGAGGTGGAGGAGGCGGGCGGATATGGAAAGGATGGAGAGGAGAGTGACAGCGTCGGGGGAAATTGGAGGGGAGGAGCGGAGGAGGGAGCGAAAGAGGGAGAGGGAGAGGAGGGGAAGGGAGGAGAGAGAGAGGGTGGAGAT